CCCCAAAACCCCAAAACCCCAAAACCCCAAAACCCCTATATATTGGTGAATAATTGGGCGGATTAGTAAATAATTAAAATGGAGAGAAAGAAGATGGATGGGTTGTTTAGGTGTTCAGGGTTTGTTTTTGAGGTTTTGTACTTTTATGGCTATTATGATGACTGGAGGTTGTTGATGACACGCCTTTGTAAGGAGACGTATAGGTTTTGGAAGGAGAAGCAGAAGATGTTCGTGATATTAGATGAGAGATATAAGAAGGATACTGGTAGTATTATTAAGGTACTCAATAAGAATGGAGTTGTTGCCATGTTATAAAAGGTGTAAAATCTTTGTATCTTACGTTCCCAGATATTTTATTAAGTAATAAACTCGATGGAGCAGCAAGCTTACTCCAGCATTATGAGCTGCGAGACCTGAAAGAGCTAAACATAACATTTAAATTCCGATCAGGCACTCCAAAAGAGTTCAAGAGTATAAGTGTGCTGTTAGAGAAACTTTTTGCCCAGGAGGATCTAAGAATTTTTGAAATAAATTTAGCCTTCAGTGGAGACCCTCGACAAAGAGTTGATTTACAACAAGAAGGTAGCTCATGGAACAAAATTTGGAATGTTATTATTGACAATTTGGTGGATATGAAAACTAATTGTTTAACACTCTGCAACTCTAAGATTAAAGAACTTGATGAATACTTTTGGGTATCAGATACCCCTATTTTTAAGCTCAAAAATTGTTGAATTGAATTGAGAGGCTGCAAGTTCAATGATGAGTTCAAAGAATCTTTTGAAAGACATAATGGTAAAGATAAGACAATTATATTTGATTCCTGTAAAGTTTACTCCTGTCGTGGTTCATGATATTCACTCAAATGTCAAGGAAAAAGTATGACATCTGAAAAAGTAGAGTTCTTTGGCTCACCATTGAAGGTTCAAATGAAGCGATTAACTCTCATGGAAGATGAAAATAATAGATGAAGATGAATCAATTATTCCTCTCCAATTTACAATCAGGATTCAGATTTCGACTATCAATATAATGACGATAACGACTTGCCAGATCCATTTATGCACTCAGGTAATCAGCACGTTGATAGAGAGTACAACAGACATATTAGTAGAGCAATGCGAGGATCCTTTTATGATTGGTATTAATTTACACAAGCTGCATAATTTCAATCTTCTTTCATAAATGCGGGGTTTTGGGGTTTTGGGGTTTTGGGGTTTTGGGG